CAAACACGCTAAACGTCACAAATCTCTCACATCTCAAAACTCGCTCTCTCTCTCTCGCCCTCACTCCTAAATCTTCCGCCTCTTCCTAAACAACCAAATGTCATGTTGCCATATCATTTTTTGATTGGTCGACCTGGTGCATTTTTCCACCAACATGAACGGGCTGATTTTGGTTTGATTTTTATTTTTTGGGCCATAAGCAGAGAGGTCTCGCTGCGCTGGAGCGCGCAGCTGCTTAAAGCTGCAGCGTCCAGATTACTTACAGCTACTTCTGTGCAACTGCTATAAGATGCTGTAAACTACAGACAGCTTCAGCCGTCTGTTTGCTGAAAAATAGTAACGCGACCGCATTTTCTTGTTAGTAACGGTAACGGCGTTGTAACGATAGGAATAGTAATTCGATTACTCGTTACTGAAAAACGTAACGCTGTTAGTAATAACGCCATTACTTGTAACGCCGTTATTCCCATCACTGCACATAAATTGCCAGATTCTGTATGTTTTGCAAGTGGAACATATCAACCTATATATCAGAATATGTGCGCTATTATACATATATTATTTATGTATTATTATTTATTTATTGTCACTAGTCTTAACAAAGACAGGGCAGTTACATGTTACATGCACAAACTATCACATAAAGTGTCTCTGGAAAAAAGAGTGTAAAGGCTGCATTCACTGTATCCTAGCCAGTGTATCCCAGTACAAATGCACATGCCCGACCCGAAAATAGAAATGATGGCAGCGATGAAGTAAAAGATATGTAACACTAGACCGTGTCATCACTGCGAGGCAGTGAAGAGGCTGGATCGCACATCGTGTTTCACACATGTCTGAAATATAATTACGGAAGTCGTGGGATGGAAGCAGAAAAGCATTAGAGACATGTACCTTTTATCTCTTGGATTATCGTGCATTAGTAGTTGTGAAATATACATGCCGATCAGTCGTAGTTTTTTTAGCCATGCTATTCAACACAAAGCCTACGTCTTTACGAAACAGGAGTAACGCAGCTTATTTAAGATTACAGAACCACGAAACAATCTAGTATCAGATTAGTAAGTATGTATAATAAACTTTTCTCCATATTTCATAATAATGTGAAGCAAATTCAAAGGTTGATTCTGTTCATCTGGACGTTTTCAGTGGGAGAACTGAAAAGACCACGAGTGGCTGCGATCACTGCAATAGCTTCAGTCATTGTGCAAATGTACTGTTTAGAAGTCTGCTGAGACTGAGGAAGTCACCTGGATGAAACATTTCTCCCACTGAAAACGTCCAGACGAACAGGATCAACTTTTGGGATTTCCTTACCTGGATGACTGAACATGCATCATGACATGAAGCAAAGTCTTGTTCTGAAATCTGGTGTTCCTTCAACAGGATCAAGTCCAAATACAAACCCAACATCCACAAGTTCACCAGCAGTTAGTTACACCCTCATACCTGAAACATATTCCTTTAGTTATCGTCCCTTTCATGTGCAGATGTTGTTAAACTCTTGGCCACGTTACTAATCGAATCTTGTCTGAATACAGCATTTTTATCACAGATTGAGAAATCTGGCAGAAAGTACAGAGACTCTGTTTTCTAACAACATTTCAAAGTTTCAACATCTTTTCTTGTTGGCTCATGTTATTCATCCGTTTACATTCTAAACAGCATCACTAGGAGAACGTGCTGTCAGCTTCCTTCCTCACCTTAACGTGAGCGTACCAGTTTCTTTATTTCCAGCTAACAATGAGCTTCATCTAAGCCTGAGCTGAAGTTAAAGTTGATGCATATGTTCTGACACTTCGGTCTTTATATACCAACATCTTTGTCTTCTTTTCTTTATAAGATGTTGTTAGTGGACAGAACAGCTCATGGTCCAACACAAAGGTAAATAATTACACGTGGTTCTTCCTATGCTCAAAGCAAAACAGAGAAAAATCCTAACGCGTTAGTAGTGCCTCTTACTTAATGTTTAAATCAACAG